ATAGAGGGCATTCTCTCCACTCCACTCTCTCTAGCCTTACCCTTTCATCTATGGGGATATGAGAAAATGAAACCCTGTCATCAGATCAGAGCTTCAAAGGAATAGATGGTGCATGCTGCAGCCAGAAAAGGGCGTAAGGAAAATGGGGAATAAAGCTGTACGGGAAGCGAAACATTTGTGAAGGTTATAGCCTAATATATAGGACCTCTAGAAATTGAGATTTGATTGGAAGATTTTAGAACTGTCCTTCATTCCATTCTGTACACCTTATCAACCAAAACAGGAAGGATACAGTAGAATAGCAGTAGGTTAGAGCAGAAAGAGCTGAAGACAAGACTCTGGGAAGAGGAGTACTTAGGAAAGTCCAAAGTCAAAAGGGAAAACCACAATAAGAACACAAAAGGCACTTGAGTCCTGTGGCACCTGTAACTACAGAAAACATTAAACACACTTCAACTTTTAGCTGGATTAACATAAATCCTACACTAAAGTTTTCTTTATCTCAGTTCCTATTAACCAAATCAACACGTTCAGCTTACAACAAAAAATTAGACTGATATACATCCATTATGTCTCAATAAAACTGGGAGGAAAAAGAAAATATATTAGATGGCATGTCAAAGGAAAAATGAAAAACAAAAACCAAAACGCACTCTATAGGTGAAAAGCAAACAATAGAACCAGACTCAGATATGGCACAAATGTTGGAATTAATAGACAAGGAATTTAAAATAACTGATAAGTATGTTAATATCATTAATGTAAAAAGTAAACAATATCAAAAAAGAGATCTGTTATGTAAGCAAAGAGATGGAAACTCTAAGAATCAAAAAGAATGATAAAAATTCAAAGAAACAGTAACAGAAATGAGGAATACCTCTAATGGGCTCCTCAAGGAACTTAACATGTCCAAAGAATGAATATATATATATATATATTTAAAACTTTTTCAAATTAAAATTCAAGCAGGAAAAAAAAAAAAACAATCGAACAAACAAGAACAATAACAACAAAATAGGACAAAACATCCAGGAACCATGGTATAATTTCAACAGGTATAACCTATTTACAATTGGAATATCAGAAGAAGAAAGTGAGAACAGAGCAGAAGAAATATTTGAGGTAATAATAGCTGAGAACTTTCCTAATATTAATGAACAAACCATAGATCCAGAAAACTCAGAGAACACCAAGGAAGATAACTATAAAAAATGAACAAACAGAAAAGCAATCAACAAACAAAAAACATACCTAATCATATCATATTCAAACTGCAGTAAAGCAAAAGCAAAAAGAAAATATTGGAAAAAAAAAACAAAAGAAGAAAAAACGACCACCTTAACAAGAGGAACAATAGTCAAAGTAATCTTTTAAACAAGAAATACTGATCATGTCACTACCCTGTATATAATGGTTTCTCATTGCTCTTGAAAAGAAGTTCTATCACCTTAAGAAGTTCTATCACCTTAACACAATCTTACAGGCTGTGAATAGTCTGGCTCCTGCCCCCTTCTCTGGCCCCATCTTCCAGGAAACCATTTTTTCCTGCCTTCTCACCTTGCAAGCTTCTTTTCCTTCTTAAATGTCATCTTCACCATGTCCCTGGGCTTCTGTGCATTCTTTTCCCTAAATCTGGTTATTTTCTCTTGTCTGGTGACCACTTGTATTTTCCTTGTATTTTCTAAGAGTAGCCTAATTCAATATGTCAGTCTAGGTAGATCACATAATTACAATTCATCATCAACCCTGACCAGATATAATGTTAATTTACATTGTGCTTTAAAAAAAAGTCTAACTTATTTGGTTTTGCTCACATTCCATTCACAGCTCCACAGTGTCCAGCACAAAATGGGGACCAAATGCATACTTGCTTTATAAATGGAAGAATAGAGTTCTTGCAATTATCCTAATAGATCAATGGTTATCAATTACAGATCATTAGGGAAGTGGTTTTAATAAATATTTATTCATTTAATGACCTCCTACCCACTACTGGGCACCCTTTTACATTTTGGGGAGAATACACACAAGTTCTAATCCATATAGCTGACTGGGGTATACAATCATGTAAACCATATAAATGCGTTATAAAATGATCATGATATGATAGAGGTCTGAATAGGACCAAGTCATAAGTGCCTTTAAGATCGAAATCCTGCAGAAGGAACAAATGGAGCCGTGTGTGCTACAACATTAGTAGGTTGTTCACTCCTTGGGTGGAGGAATCTTTGCCGTTTTCTTTTGTGGTGTGTTCCCAGTGCCTATAAAAATATCTGGCATTTAGTAGGTACCCAATAATTTATTAAGAGAAGAAATTGGAGTTAGCTAAATAAAAAAAGATGGATGAGGAACAAGGAAAAAATTCTAGGTAGAGGAAACGATATGTTGCTCAGACTGACAGAATATACATGTCACTGCAATTTCAACCTGAAATATGAAAATGGCTTCATTTAGATTTTAGGAGCTTTTTACCAAGAAAAAGACTTTAGGAAGAAAAGGCTTGAAGGAGAGAGATATGAGTTTTGGATTTATTAAAATCCATGATATATTCAGGTGAGCAAACAAAAAAATTTGTAATCCCTCACAATTATATTGTCCACATTATAATTAACCTTTCAAACATTTTCTCCTGGATTATAATCAATAGTTTCTAAAGTCTCTCAAATTTTCAATTAGCTGGGTTTGAGTTAATTAGATTTTATGACAGATACATTATACAAGTTCTAATTTTTGTCTCTGACACATAAAAATTGCAAGATTTTTATCATTCAGATGTAGTACAGTTATGACTTAAAATCTCAACCTTAAAAATAAAAATAAAATTGCAACTTTTCATAGTGCACTTAAAGTGTATTTGTAAATCTTATCATTTGTTTGTTTGTTTATTGTTTTGAGGGGAGGTATTATTTCTCTGTCCATTGTGCTGAAGGGGTTGGCGGAAACTGCACTTGTTATCAGAATGTCTGTTGTTTTTGCTGTTTCTAGCAGTAACCAGCAGGTGGTATCAAACAATTTCACATTTCTGTTCTATTGCAGACTTTGTGTGTGTTTGGTTTCTAAGACTTCTCCTTCCTAACTTCCACCCCACATTATAAATGCTCACACACAAGCATTGCATGGGAATAAAGGTCTAAATGAGGATTTTATTTTATTATTCTGATTTCAATCTGTTTTGATTTTGCTTTCAGAGTGATATTTTTCTTTCACATGTGCTGAGGTTTCTTTTTACAGTAGAGATACTGCTTTATATGCAATAACTCATTGTTGCTCTAACAACACTATATGGGAAAACACTACTTGTAATCTTCACCTCACAAATGAGGAAACTATGGTACAAAGAGGTTAGGGAAACCTCAAGTTTGTAAAGATTAGAACACAGGAACCTGGCCTTGGAGCCCACAGTGTCAATCTCTGCTGAAATCGCTTCCCCTGATTTGATTGTCTTCTTTCATTGCATGTTTTCACTCAAAACCTGCCATTCCTTTACTTTGACACCATTTGCTCAGCTGCAAATGGTGTCAAAGTAAAGGAATGGCAGGTTTTTGACACCTATACCCTGAAATAAGAGATATTGTGGAGACTAAAACTAGAAGATAAAAGAGCTGTGTGTTAGATGGGGAATGCTCACATATATTCCACATATGCATAGAATTTTTGTGCTAAAAACACCTTGAGAAACTTGCCTTTATTTTACTGAAAAACAAACATAAATGTCCCAAAAAAGCATTGGGTTATAGCAGTCCCACAGAGGTGATAAAGGAAGAAATGGTCTGTTAAAGAAATGATGTGGAGATCCTACTAAGTATAAAAAAATGCCCATCATTGGGAGACAGGCATGTCGGAGGTTTGTGGGCTTTCCAGTTAAGTGCACCTCTTTACTAATGCCTAGCTCTTCGATTTACAGTGTAAGGGGACCAGGCTACACTGTCTACGGCCATGCTACCCCAAACAAGCCCGATCTCGTCTGATCTCAGAAGCTAAGTAGGGTCGAGCCTAGTTAGTACTTGGATGGGAGACCACCTAGGAAGACCAGGTGCTGTAGGCATAAAAAATGAAAAAATAAGGGATTGTAAGCTGACAAGGTCCTTGCAATCTGTGAGGTCAATCAAGGATTGCCTCGCCTAAAAGAAAAAATTAAGAAAGAAAAGAAAAGAAAAGCTTGCTGCTTCAAGTGAAAAGAGAAAAGGGAAGGGAGGGAGGGAAAGAAGAAAGGAACTTATAGTCAGTGTTAACAATGTTATTGTTAAGTTACCAAAACCAGGTAAAAGAACATAAAATTCAGATATGAAGAAGATTTGAATATGGTGAAAAATAATCTCATAATAGATTCATACTGAAATTGCTATAACATTTTATTATTTAGATGACCACCAACAGTTCATGAGGACAACTAGATTATTTTTTTAAACCAACAGAAATTTAAAATGTTCCTTAAAATTAGTGTATTACATTTTGCAAGGTTTGGGTTTTAGTTGCTTGTTTTATTTTCTATAGATTCTAACCTTCATTATGAAAGAAATGATATCCTCACAATGCTAAGCAATTCAGAATTAATTTCATACTTAGGTAATTATGTATAAAATGAAGAACTTCTTAATCGTAGTTCCATTGCAATCACTGTTGTGGATGATTGGTCAATTGTCTACCATGATTCAAATAAATGATGAACAAATTAATATGAGGCTTTCTGTAGAATTTTTAAAAAATCATGTTAATGGCAATAGGTCAACTTAAAGTGTTGACTTCAGTCTCACAGTCTTTTTAACCTCAATAATACTTAAGAAGAAAAAAATAGAAAGAATTCATACAAATAAAAATGAAAACTGAAAGGATTTCAGGGATTTTTTTTTTAGTAGGTTTTTTGTGTGTGTGTGTGTGGATAAAAGTGGCACTGAAAGTTACTTTGAAAAAAAGAAAAACAAAAACAAAAACAAAACTACTTCTGGTGCTCTCCTGTTAGTGTCTGTTGATGTTTTTGGTTCCTATCTCTTCTTCTACAGGTGTAACAACTGTTCTAACAATGACAACTCTAAGCATCAGTGCCCGGAATTCTCTCCCCAAAGTGGCTTATGCAACTGCCATGGACTGGTTTATTGCTGTTTGTTATGCATTTGTGTTCTCTGCCCTAATTGAATTTGCAACTGTTAATTACTTCACCAAAAGAGGATGGGCTTGGGATGGGAAGAGTGTAGTAAATGACAAGGTAAGTGAGAACTTTCTTTTCACCAGGAGTAAGAGAATCCCCTGACAGATGTAGCTTATAACAGATACATTCCCAAAATTGACATTAAGAAGATTCAAATATAAATTATATATATATATATAAAAATCATATAGATTTTAGAGTGTGTTCTTGCCTGAAATACTTTAGGAGTGCTTGTGGTAGTAATACTTCTGTTAAGATCACTCCCTAGCATCTGGTGAGGTTGGACAGTGTGTCAGGCACTGTGCTAAGTTATTTTACATATGCTCTGTCATATAATCTTTACATCAACTTTATAACTAGTTGTTTCTTTTTAATTTTCTTTTTTTTCCAATGAAGAAACTGGGCTTAATCAAGTTATTTACTTGTCAGAGCTAAATACAAGTAGTTAATAAGTGTACTTAAATCAAAATTTGTCTGATCATTAAATTCATACTGTTAAACACCAAACTGTTTCATAATAAAGAGATTTGTAAAGAAAAGTAGGCATTACCTTTAACTGCTATAAAATTTAAAGTCTTGTTAGTGCTATAAAATTTAAAGTCTTGTTACTCTCACTGACTTCCATTTCTGTTGCTTGGATGTAAAAGTCCATGCACCACTATTACCTTCTCCTGTGTTGTATACAAGAATAAGTAAGTAGGTGCTGGGATGTCTAAAATTTTTAAGTTGCCCATATAAGTCTATAAGACAAAAGTTATTTATTTCTAACATTAACTCCTGTTGGGATTATTGGTGTCCATTTTTAGTTTTCCAGTACTGAAGCTAGTGGGAGTTGTGCATTGATATATCAGCTGTTTCCTTTCTTATTGTATAGATTATTATTCATCTACTTTAAGAAGAGTCTTTGGATATACCACAGTGAGATATAAAGTTTTCTTATAAGAGTAAAAGTTATACTTTCAGAATTTCTTTTAACGACATATCTGCTTAGATGTGCTTCCATCAAATTTGGAATAAATACTTATCATTTCATTTCCTTTTCAGTTATCTGAATGTAAATATTTTTCCTAATTTTCATGACCGTATTACAGTTTAAACATATAAATGTGTTATAGTTTAAAAGTCCTTCCCTTTTCTCTTAATTTTGTAAACTGTAGAACTGTTAATGAGTTCTGATTTATTTTATTTTATAATCTATGGTTTGCAAACTAACAGCCAATGAGTAAATATTAAAGGGAATGTGATTAATTTTCTATCTGTAATCTCCAGATTATTTTAGCATTTCCATTACATTTTATTGTTGATTTATGTTTTCATTCCCCATATAGTATACCGTGTTTTTATTGCTATCTATGAAATGACTTCTTTTTAATTATATTAGTTACACGTGCACTTTCATATTTACATTTTTTTTAAGATAAAATGCTAGTTGGTTCTTTGTAACTATGTCACAAAGGATAGTGGTTTGTAGTATAAATGCCCCTTATAGTAATTTACCGATATATTGTATTATAATGCTATGAGGGTGCCAATCAAATTGATATTGTGATTTGGCATATCAAATAATATGCCTTCTCAACCCCTGAACTTGGAAAATAGAAGTACTCATAATTGCAATAAACATATTCTTGATAATGCATTCTAAAAGCTATGACCTACTACTAATAAATACTGGATTTAAGTCTACCTACATATCAAATCACACATAGTGAAGGTAAATCAAGGTTGAAATCATTGATGTTCCAACCTAATTTGGGGGAAAACAACTAATGAAGTTTATATTATTCCAGTTCTCACTGACTCAGTTTAGGGGTTAAGTTAAAGTAAACCTTATATCAGGCACATTGCTTAGCTAGAGCTCCAACCGCAGTGGCAGGTACTTCAGTGATTTTTGTTGAATAAAAGAACAAATGAGTTTCCGATATTAAATCTGGCAATGTGAAACCAATGAGAAGTCTCTTTTCCCTTCATGGAAAATCTTTTAAAATTTAATAATGATGAATTTATCAATGTATACTCAATCCAATTTCATGATTCAAGTGAATTTTTGGAGGTGTTTCCTCGACCCACTTTGGAAATAACCAGGTCCTTAAACTAAAAGGAAATCAAATAGAGTGCTCTAAACTAGCCCATCTGAAAAAAAAAGATATATATATATATATGTATACATTATATATATATGATATATATAAATATCATGTATATATAAAGCAGTCTACCTCTGTTTTAGTTTTTCTTAGATTTAATTTTTAAATGGAAAATAATATTTTTTCTAGAAATACAGAGGTTTAATCCACAGACCATTGGCTTGTGGAATCCTGTGCTTTTGAAGTTAGTAAACATGAGTAGATGCAGTTAAATTATCTGTCATTTCGAAGAGCATGTAAAACGTTCTTGAAAATTTCTTAACTGGCAAGTGTTAATTTGCCTCATAAGAATAATCATTGCAACATACATATTAATGTTATATGTTTGAAAAAAAATATGTGTTTAACAGACACTTTACACGTAGATTGTGCTCTGACAATCTTTAAAGTCAAATAAATAAATCCCCTCAATTCATATTTAAGTTACATTTGACTCCTCTATTAGAAGACAGAGCCTACCTTGCCCTGTGATCTTGAACACAATTTTATGTTACTTTTAGCCTCAGGTGTGAAATTAGACAACAAAACCTTATCATTTTAAAAATGTGGTGTTTGATCAAATGATCCAGATTTTATTTCCTTCCATATGCAAAAGTATCTACTTATGCAACTGCTAAATTCTTCTAAAACCTTCCCTTATGCCCAGTTCTTTCACTTGCCCAAGACTAATTATTTAACTCCAGCTCTTGATTCCTTTCCTTCTTGTTCCTTTCTCAACATTGATCCATTGGTTATTCTCTTCTCTTATTTTCATCTCCTTTTCAATTGCCTCCTTCCTTTCATTTTCTGAAGATGCTGAATATGCTTAAATTACCGTAAAAACAAAAACCCTCTCTTCAGATCTAATGTCACCCATTCCCCCATCATGAGATTCTGCCTTATTTTCTCCATTTGACCTTTTTGAAAGCATTGCTTACAGTGCTGTGTTCTCATTTTTAATTTAATTCTCAACCCACTGTAATCTGGTTTCCTTTCTATTTATTTTCCTGTAACAGAAAGGTACCAATAACCTTCACATTTTCAGATCAGATAATAATTTTCAATTTTTCTCAATGGGTTCCCTTTGAATTCATTGAATACTGTTAGATTCCAGAACTTCATATCAGGCCCAAGTCAGCAACTTTTTCTCTTCCTCTTTAAAATAAGACTTAGAATATCAGCTTTCTTCATTCAAGTTCTGGCAGCTGCCACTATTCATTCTATTCTTTGAGATTCTCTGCCAGAGTTCAGAGTGGATCCATTTTCCTTTGCATCTGCTCTTGTTTATTCCCACAGACAGTCATTTGGCTTTATTTTATGTTGTTTTTATTTTTATTATTTACTATATGTTCTCACTTTAAGGATTTTACTGAAAATATCTATAGGATTGTCTGCAGCACTAAGCACATTGCCTACCCATTTACTGTCCCCAAGTAGGTAATCCCTACTCATTCTAAATACAAATATCAATATCCTCAGGAAATTTCTGAATTCTTGCCCCCCCTCCAAATGATTAGATCCCTTTGTAAATTTGTTTAATACCCTCTTCTTTTACATTAGAGACTCATCACAGTTTATAATTGCATATTCATGTCTTAACTTCTTCACCGATCATAATATCAATGGCCATATTTATTTTAATTAATCATTTATCTGTGTCCCTTTGCATAGGGCTTTCTATATATTAAGATGCTCAATAAATATGATATGGATTAATGAAGTGGAATAAATCAAATTCACAACCCACACCTTCATCTTACCTTCTACAGCTATTATCTACAACTGTATTCCATATTTGTCTTTTAACTTCCAGAATCATATACCCAGCCTGTACCCTAGGCATTTCTACCTGTATAAAACATCTCAATCTTTCCATATCTTTTTTTTTTAATATGAAAGAAATGACAAACAAACAAAAATAAACCTCTTAAATTGATTTTATATCTTTCCCCTACCCACACCTATTTTTCCTCTTTACCTCAGTTCAGGGGAAAACCTAGTACTGTATTTCGATAACTCGATGTATCCCTTAACATCTAACCAATTAAGTGGTGTCCATTTTCCTACCTATATATTATAGGATATGTCCTTGCCAGCTCTTATTATTTTGAGTCTCTTTACTTCTTACTACCTCTAATCTAGTCCCCCTTTAATCTATGCTCTATGTTAATTCTGGGGTTATCTTTCTAAAAGAGGAATCTGATCATTTAATTTTTCAGCTCTTTAATGACTAGTTGAAGGCACTTCTTTAAGCAGATCAGCTAATATGGTCCAAGTATATAGCTTTCTCATCTATTTATTTACATAATGAATAATAAGGAAAAATTTTTGTTGTTATTTATTGTGCACTTAATACCATGTGCCCGAGAATATCTCCATTTTAGAAATGAGCAAATATGGGATTGGCCAAGTAAAATTACTTGCTGAGGACCACATAGCTAATAAGTGGTGGACTCAGTATTGAACACAGATCTAAGATCCATGCTCACAATCTTCCTGTAGCCATTACATACATCCTCAATATCTGTGCCTCTGCAAATCTCCAGGACATTCGATATGCTGATCCCTCTTGCTAAAGTCCCCTTGCCTTTCTTTCCTAAATGATGAACTCCTACTTATTTCTTAAGATCTATATGATGTTACTTAATTTTGACGTTTTCTAAACAAATCCAATTGCTGAAATGTTTCCACAATACCGGGTACAAATTATTTTATGCAATCTCATAAAATTATACATTTATTTGTAAATAAATCTGTTCCTAGCAGCAGGTTACAATCTCTAAGAAGATAATAGTTTTGTCTTATTTATCATTTTCTTTGCCGTTTCCTAGCGTGTTTAGCACATAATTTATTTGAATTAAATTTAAAAAAATAAATAACTTCAATCTGTTGTGGTGGTTTGCATTTCTTAGTCAGTGGTTTTATACTGCCCAAGCAAACCATTTCTCTGGAAATACATAAGATATTAAATTACTTAAAACACAGATATAGCAACATAATATCCTAACTAGCATGAAATGTGCCATTGTTTTGTGATTTACTCCATACAGTTCAATATCCTAACTAGCATGAAATGTGCCATTGTTTTGTGATTCACTCCATACACTTGAAAACATCACTGTTCAAGTGTTATCATTTATTTATTTGCATTTTTAACATCTTGCCTTGTTCCAAAAGCATTTCAGGCAGTTTACCAAAAGAATGCATGTACTTACATTATTATAAAATAACATATAAACAGAAGCAGGAAATCAGAATAAAGAAAAATAGACTGCAAATATATCCACCATTTGGGCTAGAACATTAACTATAGTTCATAGCTAGAGTAGCTAAGCTTCAAATTCTGAGCTTCGTGGCTATCACAGTGAACCATGAAGTAGCAGGGGGGTGGGGATGGGGTGGGGGAATTTGATTTTCTTTAATCAAAAAAATAGAAGTATAAATTTCCTCAGAAAAAAAAAAAATTCCTGCATGGAATACTCTTCTTAAAACAATATCATATGGGTTTTCTGTTAGGCAAAGCTGGGTACTGTTGCAGGTAGTAATATCAATATTTTCCCAATAAACGCAGTAATGAATTTCATATTGATGTTTCTTGTAGTCCCCTTCAATAAAAGCTGAAGGCATTACATTAACATACAACTCAGTGAAGGCAATTCTTCAAGGAGCTAAGCTAATATGGTCCAAGTATGTAGCTTTCTCATGGCCCAATTTAATCCAAGGAAAGACTTTAGAGTACTTAGAGAAGTGGATGGACTGTATAACCTTCAAACAATCTTCTGTAAGTATCACTTTTCTCAGTCAGGATGATTAGCAGATAGTTAGCAATAGCATTGTCTGATCAGGGAGCAAGTTGCTGTTTTACAAGTAATGGGCTTTCTAGTAGCCATGATGACTTAAAAAAAAAAAAGCAACATGGTATGTAGAAAGAGAATAGATTTTCCATTTTGCAGACCTGGTGTTTTTCCCAAAGTCTGATATATTTAATGCTATGTTTATGAAAGTCCATTTTCTTATTCTAAGAGACAAATCTAAAATTCTTTCCAATTCTGAAACCATGTGTTTGTTATTTTGATTTATATGCCAGGCCACTTCATTAATAGGTGTCTGTATTTTAGCTAGTGTATGTGCTCAAGTTATTAACACATTATTTTACCTAAAATTCTAAGGAAGCCAAGATCGATTTGTTGCCATGATGAAATACATTTCAACATCTGTAATCAAAAAATTTCCAGAATTTAATTTTATATATGTATTTACACACTCGAATAAAGTAATAAACTCAGAATATTATGAATTTTATAAAACATTTAAAAATAGAAAATTTAATTAATGTGGGTTATATTTTCTGTTAATTTTACTTCAGTAGCAGCATCAACAAATTTTATAACAGTTAATTAACTTTTCCCCCAGATAATGCATGAAAATACACCATTAACTGATTTTTTTCATAAGCCACATTTCCCCTTTCCCACTTATATAAGTCTCAATCACCAGTAAAATAACTTCCACAGACATTGTTTTTTACTTGAGTTTATTTTATGATTTCTCAGTCTTCTATATCTGCAGACAATGAAATTGAGAACTTTCAGGATAATTACAAAATAAAATTGTAGAATAAACTATTGAAATCTGTTAATAATCATAAATATTTTTGTATTCTATAAACACCTAATGTTTATGTATTTTACATACATATATTCATATATATGTATATATATTCAGAGTAATCAATCTAGTACCTTCCATTCATTTTTCATTAAGCAAACATTTTTAGAGACTGCTCTGTGCCAGGAGCTATGTTAGTTAGGAGTTTTGCATTGCATAGTCTATGCCTTCAAAGAGCTTACAATCAAGTAAATTTTAAAACAGAAGTGAAAAAATGTATATAACATTATAGCGATAAGCACTAGTGTGCTGTGGAAGCACATGAAAGGGGGACTAATTGCTGTAGCAAGTGATGTTCAACAGATGTGATTCTGAGCTAAGTCAGTGTAAAATGTATCTGACTTAGAGGACCAATGTGGGTTGATTACCAGTTCCTAGCTTTATTGTGGTACTATTCAGAGGTTAGAGAATACAGGAGGGTGTTCAGATTTACGTTGGCAGTGAAAGTAACCTTAATTCATGTTTGGACATTTTATGTTTTAAAAACCTGTAGATGGAAAAGTCAGTGAAACATAGTGGGTAAGAATTCTGGTGAGAGAAATTATAGCAGTCATCCATAATTAGCCAAAGCCATAATGGTCACTTAATTTAAAAATAGCAGTGCCAATTTGTCTTTATTTCCCCCATTCTCCTTCATTTTGGTTTAGTTCTTCATATTTAACATTATTTTTTAACTTGTATTTTCAACCATATCTGACCTTATACTTGAAAAGTTATGAAGTGGCCTACCTAAGAGTCTTAAAGTAGAAATGAAAAAATTAGACTATGAGAAATTAGATAATATGAACAATCAAAGCTCACCTAGTTCTCAAAAGAATCTAAACTTTATATAGGGACATGAGCATTCATTCAACAAAATTATCTCATAGCAGTGAGTACTGGTTTGAACAGTTAACACAACACTAGACTTCATTGGACAGTTTCTCTTCCAGAGTCTGAGGATCTGAGTGTAAGCCAAGGATTACATCACATAACGTAATATCAGTCTAGAGTGGTCGAAAATCATGTGGTCCAAGTATTCTGCCTGCCAATGGTCTGGCTTGATTAGAGACTTGCATGATGTTCAGAAGACTTTATAACATAATATCCATCAACTTGGTTGTTTGTAACAGAAGTTAATAATGAATAGGGCAAGGTAATATCTTCTAGTAATGGCTTAAAGGGTGAATATTCTTTGGTGCTATCACTGGCAGATCTAGGTGTTATAAAGAACATTAATAAAATATATTATGTGGACTTAATCTGTATATTCTGCTTTAGCAGATCTTAGAATTGTAAGTCAGCTATGAATTCAACAGTATGTTTTATCTATATGTGTGTGTGTGTGTGTGTGTATGTATGTATGTATGTATGTGTGTGTGTGTGTGTGTGTGTATGTATATATATATGTATATGTATGTGTGTGTGTATATATACATATATATATACACACACACATACATACATACATACATACATACGTACACGATTTTAATTCTAACCAAATAGGAACACTTTTATTTACTATAGGTTTGTGGTAATTATTTTTTTAAATGACCTGAGGGGAGTTATTTTATCATTTCAAACAAGGTTTTTAAGATTCTGAGCCAGAAAGGTTTTACTGGGCTAGTGCTAGGAATTAAGAAGGTTTAACACCATGAAGGTGTCCTACTTTTCATTCAATAAACTGGTAAGACATTACAAGTGCCAACCACTGTTTGATGAAAGATAGTACTGATGACTACGGCACTTTTTCTTGCTACCGATTCTGAAAATAGTTAATTTTCTAACTTCCAAGGGAGTATTTTGAAGCCCGATCCATTATCTTCTCAAGTGCTAAGACTACCTCTGAAGTTTATACTTAATATTCAGAAGTTGAAGCCATATTTTGGACAGCAAGAAAAAAAATAAGATGAAATTTTGATTTGTAGCTAAGTCACTAAATATTACAAACATATATTGGAATAATTTTTAACACTGCTTGTTATAGCATCCATGGTGCTGTGATGAAACAAAAAAACACCAACAAACAAATTTATAGGGTTCACATTTGGCTGGTACATATGGGTGCAGCCCTTCTTGGTATTTATAGCTGATGTCCATTTGTATTAGTCAAGAGTATCTGTTCTGATGTGTTAATGTTTCTGCTCTAGCATTTGTTACATATATATATATATATATATATATATGTATGTATATATATGTATATACATATATATGCACTTGTATACATGTACATACTATATGTATGGGTAATATTATACTATATCTATAGTATTACCCATACATTTATGTAAAATTGAAAGGTATTTAAGTGTGGGGGGAGGGCAGGAAAGATGCTGGTAAGAGTTAGCATAGTTTCTATTAGTAGACTCCTCTTGCAACAAAAATCATTTACATTTTATGTTTCTTTGTCTAAATGTCTAAATCCTACATCATCATTCCTGACCCAACTTAAATCTCCCTCTTCCACAAAACATTCCTTGAGCTCTCCTCTACACAGTGTTTATGTCTTCCAAAGATATAAAGTACATTATCTATACATTTTATTTACCAATAATTGTTGTCTAGCTCATCATAGTTATAACTTTCACTTCTTTTCACTAACAGACTATGTTTTTCACTGTGGTTTGACTATGTATTAGTTCACAGTGATGAACTCTATCAGTTCATCAACTATGTTGATTCTCACAACATATAATTATTTCTCTTTTTTCAAACTAGAAGCTGAAGTAGAGAGAGATTAAGGAACATTCTCAAGGACCAAATTCTCTATAAATGTAATTTGATATCATTTCAAATGATGCTTAGATATAGTTGAAATAATATGAACACTATATGTTACAAACTTTATGGGTTAAAGAGTCTTTTTAGAAGATTGACCTAGTAATTTAAATTAAATTGGAATAATTTAGGAAAAAATACTTTAAGTTTCACACAGCTTCCTCAGAGAGAAAGTCACATAGCATGGTGTTTAAAGCAGAGGTTTAGAAGTCACACACATCTAAGTGTGTATGATTTTTCATCCACTTAATAAACAAGATACCTGGTCATGTCACAAAAACTCTTTAGCTTCCATTTTAATTTGTAACATAGGGTTAATAGAACTTACTTTCTATCCAGTAGTAAAGTTTGTCACAGATGACACCCAGGCTTACCATTCACCCTGCCATCTCCTAGTTGTTGACTATCATCTGATCAGTTGCATGCTTGCAGATTACCCTCCACTTGTAACATGGCAACTGCAAGTGTCACTTTGAAGAAAGGCTATTTTATAGCTTTTTATAAAGTTACAAGTGGTGATCCCTCATCTTTTTTCCTTTTATGCTCCAGCCAGGTCTGGAAGAATGCCTCATCAATGAGGGAAAAAGAGAAGGAAAACCTGATGTCAGTGAAGGAAAGAAAACCTGGGCTTGTTTTCAGATCCTTCTGGGCTCTCAGAGACACTTTCAGACCTTATTTTACTTGAACATTTGTGAATTTTTATTTCAAAATAATTGATACTCAAAATTCCATTCTAGATCAATCGATTGGTCCTCTAAAACTGTTGATTTACATTATTTACTATATTGCATAATTCATTGCTGGCTTAATTGTGTTCACATTTTGATAACAAACAATACATTTATATTAGTATAGAAATGCAGATAAATAGTATTTCTATTTTCAGGTTTCATTAATCCGGTTACCTATTATGCCTTACCTCATGGAAAGCAGTATGCTAAATGCTAAGATTACAATGAACAAGACAGAAGTAGCATTAGCTTTCACTGAACTAAGTTTCTAATGAGAAAGAAAAATTTTAACCAAATAGTTACAACACAAAAGAAGGAATTTACAAATTTTGAAAAATGTCATGTGGGAATAAACTGGATGTTATGAAAGAATGTATATGAGGAAAAGGACCATGTTAGAGAGAGTGGTTAGCGAAGGCCTTTCTGAGGAAATGATATTTAACCAAGATCAAAATACGGCAGGGAATTAATCACATAAAATACAGGATCGAGAGAAGGCATTCCAGGCAGAGAAAGTAGCATGGCCACAGGCACCAAACAAGGAAATATTCTGAAAACTGAAGTTATTTTAATAGGACTGGTATGTAATGAGCACAAGAAAAAAAACCATGGTAAGAAGTGTTGAGTTTATTCTAAGTTCCATGAGATGGTGTTTAAGAGATTTAAGCAGAAGAGTGACATGATCCAATTTATGTCTTTAAAAAATTTTTGTGTCCATAGTATGTTTAATGGTTGGATGAGGTCAAGCTTAGCTGGCAGAGCAATCAGCAATATCTATTTGTCTGGTCAAGAGATAACAGTGACACCTAGACTAGAGTCTGTGAGAACTGAACTGGGGATTATAAAAAGAAACAGATTATGGATAAACTAGGCGAAAATCAAAAAGTTTGTATTTCATCTTCCTTCTGTGTTTTTAGTGTTTATGATACTGCCATCTGTATATGGTTATAATTTCCCACCATCTGAGTAAAGCTTTGCTGTTTGATTTTGACATGAAGGGGGAAATCCTGTTATCGAGTAAAAGAGTAAATTTCTTTATTCAGAATTTGAGATGATTCATTATAGGTAATCATTCCTCTTGTTGAAAGAGTTCTATATTTTACTTTTCATTCACTCATTCATTCAGCAGACTGTTGAGCTACTACAGTAGTCAAAGCTGCTGTACTAGTTATTAAAGTTGTAGTTTTAATTGTTTTTCATGTGAGCAACAAAAAATGGCTCTCCAGAAAAATGGTACTATTGATCTTACTCTGGGGGTTTCTTCACCCTCATGGTTTTAAGACTTAATAAACTCTTTTTAGTTTTTTCCGTGAATTCCTTCTTTCTAATGGGTAATGATGTTTGCCAAGATACTTTTCTTCAGAATTTGAACTGGAGTTTGGAAACGTTAAGCAGCTGGCTCAACCCACATTCTGTTCATTCTTTTATTTTTCAATAGAAAAAAGAGAAAGCCTCTGTAATGATACAGAACAATGCCTATGCAGTGGCTGTTGCCAATTATGCCCCGAACCTTTCAAAAGACCCAGTTCTCTCCACCATCTCCAAGAGTGCAACCACGCCAGAACCCAACAAGAAGCCGGAAAACAAGCCAGCCGAAGCCAAAAAAACCTTCAACAGTGTTAGCAAAATTGACAGAATGTCTAGAATAGTTTTCCCAGTTTTGTTTGGTACATTTAATTTAGTTTACTGGGCTACGTATTTAAACAGGGAACCTGTATTAGGGGTCAGTCCTTGAATCTAGGCACAGATTAACTTTGGGATGTATAGCAACATTAAGCTTGGTTTGTTTTGCTATGTATAGTCTGACTAATAACTGCTAATTTGTGAACCAATGTGTACAGTATGTAAATAGCGATACAGCTTACCAGTACACCTCTAATGGAGACATGCATTTGCCAACTCGCGAAACTACAGGCAGAAAGAACTCTACACCCAAAACTTTTTAAGATTTACTCTAGGAACTGATTTAAGGTGGATTTCAGGTGACCTGATTTATTTCCTCTTCTAATAGCAGTGAAAACGTGGATCCTATACTACATTTCATGAACCCTTTTGATTCAGGTCTTACATAGGAGTATTTTCTACTGTTGCCTAACTATAATGTTAAGATAACATTGCCATTTCATGATAAATTCTTCTAAATAACAGAACCTCATGTCTGCAACATTATATCTGAGCACCCTTCTCGAGTGCTCAGAATCTCTCCTTGTATAATTAGAAGCTTAGCACACATCAGAAGAAAAACTAGAGATTTGACATCAGCTTTTAATTACTCTGCATAGTATCTATAGCTATGTACATATTACAGCATGACATGCTCAAATAATTACGAGTAACCTCTGACAGGGTGTTAATTATGCCTAGAATTTAATAACTATTGGAATATCATAGTCTCTACATTTTTAGTGTTAGTTTATTTGAAAATAATAATTGAAATTCTATAGATCATTTTAATCATTGGATACTACCTTAAATTAAAAAAAGGTAAAATTAAATGTGTCTTACTCTTTCCAGGTATGTGTTGTACTGAAATTGATCAGCAAAATTTTTTTGGTGCTGGAGACTGGAAAAAGCATCCAGTTTGGCTGCTGTGGAACAACATTCATATTGGATTAGAAAAGTGTGCCAAAAACTCCCACCAATGAGAATTCATAGGTGTCACAGAATATAGATGAGCACTTACATGATTCTCTTCTTTCCTGTTTACTGTAAATTCTGCCTTAAGGCTTCTTTTCATCAGGACTCAGAAGCCACTAATTACAAAGGAAAGAGCAGTTAATTGGCACATTTTTCTGTCTTGAAAGCAGCACTTTCAGATAAGAATTAATGTAAATCTGTTTTTGTAAATTGCAACTTTAAATTTCGCTGACTCAAATTTACAACAGCTTTGTATACCAGAAGAGGTTTTGGTAAGAGTTGAAAATTTTTAAACTGAAACTTCAAAGCATCACCAACAGATTGTGAATTAATTTACATGCAGAAAAATAACACACACTCAATTAGCTAAATTACAACACATACAAACATGTAGCTTAAATTAGAAACCACAATTTTCAATTTTATAGAATTACTGATTATTAATGGGTAAAATTCATTTTTCTTTTAATATTTAAAAAATGCCCTTTATGCCCCTGAAATATGTTAATAGAAGTTAACAATTGTGTCTCATGTGTAGATTCAATGTTTTTGGAAAACTTAAAACCCTTTTGACTCACATATACATTAGCAGTTATTAGCTGACTTTTACTAATAGATACACTTTTACGATGGTGTTTTTGTAGAAAAATAAGTAGTCAAATAGTGTCATTTCTTGCAGTTTTGTATAGTATTTCAGTATAGTGCATAAATAAGTATGTTCATAAAATCAATAAAAGGAGTATCTTATTGAAATAAGCAAAATCACAACAGAAATTTCTATTTCTTTGCCTCATTTACATTTTTTCTTTTCTTTTTCTTTTTTTGTTTTAGTGTGATTTTATTATGTGCTTTGCATGATTATATTATTACCAGGGTCACAAATGCATCTTATTGACAGATTTTGATGTGAAGACAGCCTTGAAATTAAAAATTCCCTCACAGAAGGTAATAAAATAAAATTGTTACATGAGCTAAAAAATGTATTTCTTTAATTCCCTTTCAATAACGACTTCTTTAACATCTAAATAGATTTAAAATGTGCACTTTACTTATACATTGAAATGGAAGATATCCTATTTTCTTACACATTTAAATATAGCACAGCTCTTCTGCGTAGTTTAGGGGAGTGTGCCATAGTCTGAGAATGTACACAATGCTTGAAGGCAAGCAATAAAAATGCTTTGTATGGTATGCATTAATAGACAATTTAAAAATATTGTTCAAGTTCTGCATTGCCCCTTTAATGTCTGACTATAAATTATAAATTTATAAATATGTACATATGTAAAAATAGTTGTAAATATCAGTTTCTGTAGGACAAAAAAATGACTCACCCACATCTTTGACAAAGGGATGCAACTACATCAATGGCACCAGTTTTATTAAAGTTTATGGTATATTGGCCAGAAGAGTTATCATTAATGTTATTCTTAGTTATAATTGAAACTCTTATTTGAACCTGATGACATCGTAATAGTTCATATTTTCTGATAATGTGGTTCAGGATTTTCTATTATTTCTTTTTGTTGAATTTTTCACACTTTTTAATCTTTTAAATTTCAATAAATCAAAGAGAGCCTTTGGTATTGCTGGAGAGCAGGAGGATGCTCCATGGGAAAGAATTTTAAATGATAAAAAATAGTCTTTACAATTATCTTCCCTTCCATAAACCATTTTAAAAACATCAAGGTGACATGGATTTATTGAAATAAGGCTAATTTTTCAGGAAATGCAGTTTTAATATACTAACAGTGGTCTCATTGGCCCATAATATTATGCCTATTTTATGCAGTTGTACTTTGACATAAAAGGTTATGGTATGTAAAAAATGTAGGTAAATATGTGTACATATGTAGAGGTATAATTTCACTGTATAGCTACTGCTCTGATTCAGCTAATATTTATTCAACAAATATTTTTTTACCTCTTCCTATGTGCCATCAAGTGGAAAGAGGGTTAATACTCCTCATATCACACCCATAGAACTTAGTTAAAAATTAAAGTACATCTCATTCTTATAAAGAGTTAAAATCAAAAACTAAATGGAACATGTAAATTAATTTAGCAGTAAGAGTTGTTCACTTAGCTGTGAGATCACTACTCTGCTAAGTTGGTGGCTATTTCTTTTCTCCTATCGGCATTCTTATTTGTTTGAATATAAATATGAAATTAATATAACCATTTAACATTTTTCAAACTTCAGTGACTTTTTTAGTTTAGCCATGTTTTTCAGGAATCTTTCTATTTTAAATTTATCTCAAGTTTGGATAAGTGATCTCCTTGAACTACATTTGCACTTTTTTTTTCTTAAATAGTTCATAGTTTACTTAAAAAGAACACAGAAGCTATTATTTCACTCATAGTGTATACATATGAAATATTCTCATGTGTTTATGATGTGGCTTTTTTTATATTCCTAGTTGAGGGAACAGAACTCGGCCATGGTATCATAGATTCTAGAGGGGCACCAAAGCTCAGTGAATACCGGACTTCGGTGTGGCTTGTCATCATTCCTATGTGAGGACAAGGGAAATAGTTCAAGTCATCCTTGCAAAGTTACGGTTCTTCAGTATCTATTAAGAGCACTTTTCAAGTGCTCCATACTTGATGCCCCCAGACAATGCCTGTGGAATACTAAAACATTTATTACTTAATTTATTACCCAGGACCATATTAATAAATTTATTACACAGGTTGTTTCTGTTATTAATCTTCTGGCATTCCTACATTCATCTGAATATTTTGCAACGATTTTTTCATATAAAAAGATTCAGAATTTTAAGGGAATCATAAGCTGAGCTATTGTTACCCTGTATTGCATTCATTTTCCTTTTAATTCAGGTTTCATGGGCACCTTGGCTTCCCTTTTATTAATCTAAAGTTATACAGAAGCATAAAATTGCAACTGAGGGGAGTGCAGTTATTTTTAACACTTGCATACATGGGAACCCAGGAAACTGTATCCAAATCAGTCATAACTGCATGGACAAGACAAATTATGACATTTTCATCTATTGAATTCATACTTTAAAAATGAAATTCAGCAATTAATAATTTCTAATATTCATAATCTTGCATTATCAACTTTATATAAAAGATATTTTCCATTGGTATTAAGCACTCATATTTTCATCATATTCAAAGACAAATTCAGGACTTCAAAAACAGGAAAAGAAGAGCCTCACCAGAATAATGAGGCTGTTGTTAAACTAAGTGAAGCATTTTCTCTTTTTAACTCCTAAGAGAGGGAAGAAATTACATACACAATTATATGCAGAGATACCCAACAGTCATGAGTCTATCAAGGTACACATCATGATTAAAATTCTAAAATAGATAAAGTTCATGTGAAAACATTTGAGGAATGTAGTAATCAATAAATTATTCAATATCTACTTATAAGGATTTTATATCATGTTCTTCCTTAAAATTCTTAATTATCCAACTTATTTAGATTACTATTTTCAATTCTATTTAGTTGAAATTTTCTATTTTTGTTTGTTTATATAAAGAATATTTTCTTATAGGTAATTATGTACCCTGCTTCAAATCACTTTCTCTATGCTGCATTTAATGCATAACATCATTTAATATTGCCAGTAGAGAAGAATAAATAACAAGTTTATGCTTCAGTTTATGGTAATATTCCCAAAGCACTTTTAATAAGTTATTAGCTTTGATTTGAAGTGTGTGTGTGTGCGCACACATTTGTGTGTGTGCGTGTGTGTTTCCCAGGTACGAAAGAACATTTTGAGAAATTCAGACAAATTTATGAAATCTAGACAATTTATTTTATTAATTGATTCAATCACAAATGTAGTTCTTATTAAACTAGGAATTCACTAGTTAGTCAATAGAATAGCTTTTTCAATAAATCAGTAACAAACTTATTAATTAGAATTTAGTCTGGAGCTATACAAATGGTTAGAAATACGCTTCTTACACAGGTGTAAACATTTTTTCTGATTTTTTTTAGCTGATTCTTTTGAGCCATTAAGTTCAAAATGATATCACAATTCTGCTTGTAAGATAGAATAGAAAAAGCCTTCAACTCCAAGTTTCTCAATGGTGGTTTTTGAAAGCCTCCATTAAATTAAATACTTGGTTGATCATTTTTAAATATCAAGTCATTTACATTCGTTAATGGTTAGTTTTGTACTTTTTTGAATTGAAATACTGCTGAGTATATTCTTATAGATAGTTCATCTATAATTGCATGCTACCATTACATTCTAGTCAGTATTCCAAGCCCTTTACATATATTACCTTATTCAGTCACAACCACCGTAATCACTGTGTGATTCTTGAAGTTGCGGAAGTTTTAAATTTCTATATAGTACACCAACACACTAGTCTAACATATATTTTAAGTAAAGTTAAAAAAAGAAAAAGCTGTATTTTTTTTTGCTTTAATTAAAATTTATACTTATACCTTTTGGGGAGCATCAATCTACTATACTTAATATGAAAGTCACTATCTGCTATTCTATACAATAAATCCAAGCAAACACTAAAACTAAACTGTACAACAACCAAGAGTCTACTTTTGTGAAACTAGCTATTTATTAACATTGGTTACAATTAGTTTCTCGAAATACATTACATTTTTATTTTTTGATCCCTAGGTACTTCTCATGTATAAAAAATGCTTAGAGTTGATTAAGCACACAGAAGAAGCACTTCCTTCTTTATTTTCTCTTTCTTCCTTCTGTCTTTCTTTTCTTCCCTCCTTCCTTCCCTCCTTCCTTCCTTCCTTCCTTCCTTCCTTCCTTCCTTCCTTCCTTCCTTCCTTCCTTGCTTTATTTTTAAAATTTATATTAAAACTGAACCTTCCTTCCTTCCTTCCTTCCTTTTTCTTTCTTTTCTTTCTTTCTTGCCTGTTCGGTTAGGAGTTGGAGAGGTTTTTATTCGCAATATTGTTGGTTTCATGACATTTAAATCCATCAGACTTCAAGTATTTTATATTGATTCCATCAAGCAATTTGTTACAAATTACTATTAATAGAAAGAAGCCTAAACTGACCCCCAATAAATGCCAGTATTGGGATTATAAGTGTTAAATTATCTTAGCTGGTATAATAATTGCAGTTTTACATACTTCGTTTCGGAAGACTAACTTTACCATAACATGCTGACAAATGCAAGCCTATATTGTTGGATAAACGAGGCTCTCCAACAAAGCATAATTGTAAAAACAAAAGGTCCTAAGAAAGCTAAACAACAAAGTTCAATCACTGTAGGGGTAATGCCTTATATATTTATTCCCAATTTATATATGTTTTAAATATTCAGCACAGTAGTGGAAGCTCTTGGCTATGTTTTATACCTCACGTAATGTGTGAAGAAGTTGAATGTGTTATTAGAAAGGCCTAAACAAATTGAACTTTGAGCCACAATTTTCATGAATTAAACTTTATCATCTATGGATAAGTCCCTGATTGTTGATCTTGGGTGCTTGATCCACAATTGATTTCAATTTGTTGGTATCCACTGGTTTTCAATATTTTTCTGAGCAGATACAAATTCAGGATTTGTGTGCTCCAAACTGAGGAATGTGACCTTTCATGAAATACTCCCTTTAGAAGTGACATACATGAACACTTATAAGCTTCATATTTGTTGTTAAATTAGAGAAGAAAGAACAAAAGAACTGAAATGTTTTCCCTTTGCTACAAATTAATAATAAAATTACATGCATAAGGAATGTATGTTAAATCTCCAAATATAAACTTTAAACATTCACATTAGGTGAAATTTAAATTTTCTGGGTGATATTATACTTGTATGGTAGGTTTCCTGGTTTGAGGAAATTATTCGGGAGATAATAATATTCGTAATTTGTGACCTTGTTGTAATTGGGAAAAGTCACTATTTTTTATGTGTGTAAGATAATTCAACCTTTATTGAATGTGTCATTATGCTTGCTGTTAAAAAAAAATCCCTAATTAATCACATGCAAATTAATGCTAAACATTATCT